TCTGCGTGCCGTTTGAATGTTTCCTCCGGGTTTCCCCCACAGTCCAAACACATGTAGGGGAATTGATTAAATAAACTGGCCGTAGTGTTTGAGTGTGTGTGTGTTAATGAGTGTGTATGGGTGTTTCCCAGTACTGGGTTGCAGCTGGAAGGGCATCCGCTGCGTAAAACATATGCTGGAATAGTTAGCGATTCATTCCACTGTGGCGACCCCTGATTAATAAGGGAATAATCCAAAGGAAAATGAATGAATGAATGTATAAATTGCAAATTTTAATTAATTCCAGCAATTTTTTTTCGGTAAGTACAAATGTTAAAATTTTTGTTCACTTAAAACAGAAATCATCCAAGATTATTATCCTTAATTTAGTGTGTTCATGTGAGTAAAATAGAAGTTATCTAATAAAATCTTCCTTCTCACAAACTTTTAAACAGTGCACTCCCAGACAGTCTTACTGTTATTAGTGAACACTGCATACTCAGACACTCTGTAATCTGTGTACATATACAGTACAGTATTTTAAATTCAGCCAAACACAGGCCTTTTTCCTTATCCATTCCATTTTTTTCCAGCCAGATGTGCAACAGGCATACACATATCATCATGAATGGCTTTGCTGTAATGTTGAAACTTTTTGCTAAGCATGAACCCTTTTTTACTACCTTTGGAGGCCTGCCAGCACATCCTGACCACTGCAGCTAAATGCATATGAACAGACAAGAGTGAACATTATAGAGCCGTTAACTGGGCCACTTTAACAATTTCATATATATGTCCATTAAAGTGTCTCAGAGTTAGTACTGTACTGTATGCAGGCAGGCAGTGTGGGGTTTTGATTTATCGATTGTGAGAACGAGAAAGCCTTGGCGCTCATATTATACAACATTCCAAGTGCAGCTATTCAAGACTACTTACCTACTAGACTAGAGTTAAAGTAAGTGCTTCGGCAGGACGAAACACTGCCAAAACATTCTGGAGAGGAAGCTAAGGTTTCAAAATAAACCTAAACTGTCGAGTTGCACCCACGTCATGTTCCCCAAATAACTCATTACCAGCCTAAAATGCTTTTATGCTGAGATTATTCTGCTGTTGTTGGCATTTTGTTTGAAATTAGAAATGACTTTGCTGCCACATTGCACTTATGTTGCTGGTGATATAACTGTAGAAGTGTTCTGACCTTTATATTTATTTAATTTTTTATTAATTCTGTAGTATTTTCATCCATTCATTCATTTTCCTTCGGCTTAATCCCGTTATTTATCAGGACTCACCACAGTGGAATGAACCGCCAGTTATTCCAGCATATCTTTTACACAGCAGATACCTTTCCAGCTGCAACCCAGTTCTGGGAAACACCCATACACACTCATTCACACACACACTTATACACTACGGCCAATTTACATCATTCAATTCTCTTATAGCGCATGTGTTTGTACTGTGGAGGAAACTGGAGTAGACTAATTTTGGATCCCGCTCCCGCCCGCACCTGCCAGGTTTTAGCCTGAATCCGACCGCTCCCGCTCATGTTCAGCATTCGTTGTCCCGCTGCCCGACCCGCCCCGTTTTTTACCTGCTGCGCCCGTTCCCGCTAATGGCCGGCGGGGGGAGAACAAAACCAAAAACCACCCAGCTATACACAGTCCAGACAACCTATAACACGCTGTCTGTATAAACACACACACACAGCACCAAGCATGCCAAGCAAGTGACACACACAGACAGCAACATCAGGCTCTCATTCACACACATACACACACATAGCACAAAGCTCTCTCTGTCATTCGCGCACACACACACAGACAGCAACAGACAAGCTAAACGCAGCATCACGCTCACTCATTCACACACATACATACAGGTGCTCGCTCGCTTGGGAGTCGGGAGCGATATTGTTAGACTGCCCTCTCCCGTCCAAAAATACACCAGTTACCGACCGCTCCCGTGCTTTATTCGGAAATGTATTCCCGCGCCGAAAGAAATCTCGTCGGGTGCAGACCTCTAAACCGGACCACCCTAAGCCAACACAGGGAGAACATGCAAACTCCACACAGACACACCAAGTGGGACTCAAACCAGCAACCTTCTTGCTGTGAGGTGACTGTGCTAACCACTGAGCCACCGTGCCTGTGTATTCTATTTTATGGAATTGAAAGGTTTTATTTTTGTTTTCTTTTTACTGTAAAGCTTTTTGTTTGTCTGTGAATGGTGCTATATAAATAATTATGTTGGCTTGAGAAAGCCAACATACTGTTATGCTACTCTGTGCTTGAAAACAAACGTATCTCCTCCTAGGCCGTTCATGCCACAAGGCCCAAATGTGGTCAAAATGTGCCTTCTACATTCAAGATTGTTGCTATATCTCCTCATGCCTATAAGACTTATTGTTTTTTTAATACAAAATGTTAAATATTACATTTTTATAATCCGGGCATATCAAAAAATTATACAAGCCCCAAATTTGGCCAAAAGCTGTATTAGATGCGGTAGATTTTGTTGCTATATCTTTAAGGTTTATCAGACTTATAGTTTTCCAATAAATAATTTTTAAGCATTATTTTTCTTTAAATATGGCAAGCCATTTTTGCATTTATCACTTTCACACTTATTAAGCATTGTATTTTCAAAAAATACGGCAAGCCATTTTTACATAATGTTCATTCCCTTAGTCTCTTTATTAATCAGGGGTCGCCACAACGGAATGAACCGCCAACTTATCCAGCATTTGTTTTACACAGCGAATGCCCTTCCAGCCGCAACCCAACACCAGGAATACATAATGTTCAAGTCCAGATTTTGACACTCCTAAAGACTGTCATAGAAACATCGGGGTTGATTTAGATCACTCATATTGCCAAGAAGCTTTGATGTATCATCACTAACCTGTCAAATGTTCCCATAGCAATAAAACAGTATAAACTAGCAACCATTTAAAAATAGCAATATCTCTACATCAGAACACCGTAGGGACTTGGGCATTGGCTCGTTTGACTCATGCTAGCAAATGGGACTTCCTGTGTACTATGCATGGTAACAATGATAATGGAAGCCAAGTGCTAATAACGCTTAGCTACATGCTATGAATGATTATCTAAATGCAATAACATATGCTAGAAATGCCTACTAAGTATTAGCATTTAATCAAACATGTGCACGAGCATTGCCATTTAGCAACTGCTTAGCAACCACCTAACAATGCCATAATTGTTTTAGCAACTGCCTAGCAACCACTTAGCAACCCCCACCGTGCTTCCTGCCAACTGCCATTCCCAGTCCTAGCGCAGTCATGTTGGATTTCTCAAGCCAACATCAAAGTTTATAAATAAACTTTAGGTTCTAGTCTTTACTTACTAGGCTACATCTACACTAATGCGGAAAAGTTTGAGCATCTAAAACGCACATCCACACTGAAAACACTAAAGCTCTTTCACTTTTGTATTGTGCACTGATGTAAAATGCTTTTACCTGCGTCATATCCACCTGGCGTTTATTTACTTTCCATCTCGTTGAAACATCGTGGCAAAATATTGCATCTGTGGTCTGTTTCTGTGGTCTGTATAGCTAACTCCCTGCAACTCTCACATGGTCGCCCACTGAAGCTAAGCAGGGCTGCGCCTGTCAGCACCTGGATGGGAGACCTTATGAGAAATCTAGGATGCTGCTAGAAGTGGTGCTAGTGAGGCCAGAAGGGGGCGCTCAACCTGTGGTCTGTGTGGGTCCTAATGCCCCAGTATAATAATATGGACTCTATACTGCTCAGTGAGCGCCATCTTTCTGGTGAGACGTTAACTTGAATATGAATTGCCTATATATTTATCGGATTAATGAAATATGGGCAAGTTCTTGAGAAGTCTGTTTAGAAAGAAATTATAGGGGCGCTTTAACCGCACAATAAACACTAACTGTTAAACTGTGATCTAAACAAAACCATTCCGGAAATGAAACTACAATTTCAACATATAAGCTGCGTAATTTAGCTTAACAGTGTCGACCTTTTATAGCAAGGTGAAATTGTTCTGTCATAATTTAATATATGAAGACAAATATACTACAAGAAATCGATTGAATCAATGTCAATTAGACTTATTAATAAATAATGTGAATATAGATTGGCTAGCTGTTTAAGCAATGAAATATGTTCAAGAGTTTGGAAAGTCTGCTGGTAAACAGGTACTTTTTTTGTAATTCTGTTTGGTGCCACTAGGGGTGCTGTAGTTTAGTTTACATGAACTCCAGTTACATATGCAATATAGGCAAAAACATTCGATGAAGGAAATCTCAAATTATTGACGATTATTGACAATATTGTGACGATTAGTTGTTAAGTGTTGACCTTTAATGGCACTTCTTAAAATGGATTTATTTTTTGTACTGTATATCATAATTTATTGTATAACGACAAATATACTATAAGTAATTAAATTCAGTGGGCTATATGCACAGTTTTTCAGCCACCGTCAGCTGCTGGTGAAAAATTAATGTTACTATTTTCAATGTCATAGTTCCTTTTACAGCATCGATGTTGTAATGTGATTAAAATATAATTAGTTAAATAGATTTAAGCGTTCATTGTTTTGTTCAAGCGTAAAATGAGATGAAATGGTTGTGTTTAAATGCAAGTGCTGTCAAGAGCAGCAGGCAAGCACTTAAACTCTATTGAAAATACTACGATAAAATTATTTTTTATATTTTAAAGACATGGCGCAGAACAATGAACCTGACACCCAGTTTATAAAATATATCAATTAGGCAGTGAAGATCAGTAACGTTGTGATTTTGTAATGGCTCGACAGTTGTCAGTAAGTGCAGAAGCTGGCTTGCTGAAAATAAAGAAATGAGCACAAAGTCTTTGCATAATTGTTTAAATATTTGGAAGATGGGGAAATCTGTTTGGAAACAAATATTTTTCTTTTATTTCATTTGAGGCCACTAGGGGTGCCAAAGTTCCACGTTATTTTCAAAAAGCTTTATGATAATGGCGTCTTTCTCTTTTCTCTCAGGACGGGATCCTACAACTGCACCCACAGCTGGACCCACAACACCTACAGTTCCCTGGGACGCCCTTAAGATTTCCTCCCTGGAAGTAATGTCTTCTGCGCCAACCGATGACACCATAGAAGAACCACCTTCAATGTTCTCTGCAAGCATGGCACCACGTGACAAACCCACTCCTGAAGCATATCCCACAATTGTTACAACTCAAACTGGAGGGATTTTGGATACACCTTCCCCAACATTTGGTGACTATGATGATAATAGCAACTTAATGGTGCAAGGGGCACCTGACCTTTCACTCCAGGGTACCGTGGGCTCCACCACAATGGTAACCCCATCTTATTACGACTCTATTTTCTCTATCAAACTTCCTCCTCAACCCACAAAAGGGGTCAAGAATCCTTTGGATACACCTCATGGGGAATACAGTAGTGCTGAGGGAAGCATCAGCGGAGACACGGAGACTCCGGAGAGTGTGATTCCTACTTCACCTGTGCTTGTCACAACTCTCCAAGTAGACCCAGACCAACCAAAAGTGGTGTACAAAGAGGACGGAAGCACAGAAAACATCACTGAAGGAGTGGTCTTTGCTGAGTCCAGTATGGGAACCCCAGGCTTAGGTGAAGTGATTGTGCATGGGTCACAGTCTGAAGTCTCCAAGAATGTCAGCTTTCCGATAGACATCAGCTTGCTCATAGTCGACATCAAGGATACAAATCAATCAGGTTGGTGGGAGTCTTCTTACAATTTCATCAGTGCAAAAAAACCCCAACAACATTCACATAGAAACAGGGTGGGCATTTGGGGGTGGGGGGGCTTTGACCTCCCTAATTAATGCTCGATCCCGCTTGAAGGATGTAAGAAGATTTGTGGGGGGGTCAGTACTTTAAATAGTGAGAAATTGTTTGCTCTGGTCTGTATCTTAAATAATAATATTAGATATTATTGGTGGCGTAGTGGCGCAGTGGGTAGAGCATTCATGTCACTGCAAGAAGGTCGCTGGTTTGAGCCTCGGCATTTCTGTATGGAGTTTGCATGTTCTCCCTAGGTTGGCGTGGGTTTTCTCTGGGTGCTTCGGTTTTCCCCACAAGTCCAAAAACATGTGGAATAGTCTGTGAATGTGTGCATAATATAAATATACGGGCGGCATGGTGGCTCATTAGTTAGCACTGTCACCTCACAGCAAGCAGGTCTCTGGTTTGAGTCTTGGCTGGATCAGTTGGCATTTCTGCGTGGAGTTTGCATGTTCTCCTTGTGTTGATGTGGGTTTCCTACGGGTGTTCCGGTTCCCTCCACAATCCAAAGAGATGCAGAATAGTTGAATTGAATAAACTAAATTGGCCATAGTGTATATCAGGGGTCACCAATCTCAGTCCTGGAGGGCCGGTGTCCCTGCAGGGGTTTAGCTCCAACTTGCCTCAACACACCTGCCTGGGTGTTTCAAGTATACTTAGTAAGACCTTGATTAGCTTGTTCAGGTGTGTTTGATTAGGGTTGGAGCTAAAATCTGCAGGACATCGGCCCTCCAGAAACAAGTTTGGGGACCCTTGGTGTATACAGTAGAGCAGGGGTGCTCAATCCTGTTCCTGGAGATCTACCTTCCTGTACAGTTTAGCTCCAACCCTGATCAAACCCACCTGAACCAATTAATTAGGACCTGAAATCCACTTGATAATTACAGACAGGTGTGTTTGATAAGGGTTGCAACTGAAATCTGCAGGAAGGTAGATCTCCAAGAACAGGATTGGCCACCCCTGCAGTAGAGAGTGTATGGGTGTTTCCCAGTACTGGGTTGCGGCTGGAAGCTGTGTAAAACATATGCCGGAATAGTTGGCAGTTCATTCCATTATGGTGACCTCTAAAATAGAGACTAAGCTGAAGAAAAAGTAATGTTTTTATATAAATTTTATATAGTATTTGGCCCCATAATAGCCCATGTATAATCCACACTTTGTAAAGAAGATACTTTGATTAAAGCAAGGCAGTGCATAATATTTTGCTTGTCCTTTGATATTTTGGTGCAGCAGTGCTTTTCCTGCGATTGCTGCCAAAGCAGCATGTTGTAAATGAGAATTCTGGTTAAGGAAACACTGAGATGCAAAATGTAGATCTTGGCTAAAGAGAGGCCACATTTGGCTCTGTCAGGACACCTACTGCTGTCTTGCAAACAACAGATCTGGATGGGGCCCCTTGAGTTTAAGCAGTTGCTTTAGTGGTTGATTTGTGCCCAATCTTTACCTCATCCTGAGGTATAACTAAACTAGCGGTGCTGCCTGCATGCATCCAGTGGAAAAGGAAAACAGGTCCTTCATGCCTTCCCGTGACCTTAATTGACTTCCTATGTTGGTGGAAAGAGTGATGAAGTCGATAAACATCTGTAGATGGACTGCAGCCAGTGTTTCTGTCTTGTAGGTCCTGAGGGTCGACATTAATCAGTTGACCCATTTATACCATTTGATACCGTTAAAGAGGCATCTACTCTAGTAAAACGTCAGGGAGAGACGGAGGTGTTGAGTGTGAGAAAGAGTAGCTCTCAAAGCCACAGACGAATGCCTCTTGGGTCAAATGGCAAAGCCCCTTAAAACATCAATCAGCAATGTAATCACTGAGCTAATTACTTTCCCTTACCTCGTCCAGTCCGAAGATCAGGTTACCATGTGGGGCTGCTAGAATGTCCATGAAAGAGACGTTTTTTTTGTGGGTTATGTGTCATATTGGGGAATTTTAGGGTGTGTTATAATCTCTGGCAAGATTTCACACGGTGTTTTACTGTGCCATGTACCAGATGCTGGAATTACTTTAGTCTTGAGCTCTTTCGAAATGAAAAGGTCTTGTCATTTTGTAATAGAGTGACTTTAGCAGGGACATTTCACTGAAAGAAGTTGATAATAAGCAATTCACTCTTCTGTACATGATACAAAACAGCTATATATGACAGCTATATATGACTAGAGGTTTATTTTCCTCAAGGGGCACTCTACCCACATAGCTAAAAATCTCTGGCCTAGCTCTGGCCTACACAACCAGCTGTTGCTTGGCCCACATGCCGCAGTGAATTACGGTACATGACTGAACCAAGTCTCAGCCAAGTTAACAACCCATAACTGAACCTAAACTGGGCCAGATATGTCGGTGTTTCACGACTGCGATGAAATTAATAAGCCAATGAATCATTGTGCTATGGGCGGGCTTTTTCTCGAAGCAGCCTGATTGGTAGAATGATTTTTTTCTTAATTTAAAAATAATAAAAAAGTATTTTAAATGTGTGTCAAGATAGGCCAAACTTCAATTATCAATTCAATATCAATTATCAACATCTGTGCCAATTACTACATTTTACATCTGGCCCAAGTATTGTGTATTGTGTGCAATCTGTCATATTAGACAAATTTTTTCACTGGAAAAATCAGACATTTGCCATTATGAGATTGTATTCAGCAATATATAGGCTAGAGTAGTTATACTGACATTGTAAACATTTATTTTCATGCACCACTGTGGGTTCACTATGAAAGAAAAAAACATTTCAAATGCTTGCCATAATCATAATGCGATATGATCATTTAAATGAAGTGCACACTTTTGTTTTTTTAGCATTTTGACTGCTAAGCGCTTGTTCATACTTCGCGCGCGGCTCCCAAACGATCACTCTGTGCCACAAACTGAATATTATTTACAACTGTATTACCTGTTACTCGCAACATATGGAGGTTCTGTTCACTAAAGTAGACGCGCGCGCGTCTATCGTTAAGTAGAATGTGCGTGCGCCCTCTCTGTGACAACAGCTCACGGTCAGCAGCTCACCTCACGTGTGATTTTTCCCGGCCGTAAAAACATCATTATATAAAGACAAAAATGACATTTTCAGGTGAATTATACCTTATAAATACAGTTATGTGACTCATTCAACATCTTTTGGAAGTGTCAATGTCACTGAGCAACGTGTGTGAAACAATGAAAAGACTCGTGCAGCCGCCTTTTCTTCTCTCCTGAACTTAAATATGATTGACAGAGTCGTAGAAATGCTGGATTAAGATCGTCTAGGGGGTCGAATCAAGATCGTGATCTTTTAACAATTAATTGTGCAGCTCTAGTAATGATTCTTATGCAATACCACAAACAAGAAGGCCATACAGTAGGTGGCATGCACATATTGCATATTTTAAGACTGCAATTTTTGTTTGAGCTCTGGTCAACCATGGTTTATTGCCTGTGTATTTAAAAATAATATCCCTGTGTTGATGTTCCCCTTGAAGCACAAACAAGTTAAGCTGCGGTCACACTGGGCTTTTCCTACCATAGACTTCCATTCATACGCACGCGAATGCGTCAGACCGGAAACGCTGGGTTTTGCGTCAAGTTTCGCAGGTTGCTGCGGTGCAAACTTCAAGCTTGGTGAACTCTGACCTGCGAAATCACATCACTTGACTGCGTGAGAACAATCGAGGATCAAAACATGACATATCAGGACAGAAATTAAAAAATGGAGCAATCGCTCGCTTTTAAAAATGTGTAATAAGCTTGTTTAATCCCGCCCCTTTTCGCAGCGCCGCACGACAGAATATGGCACACACAAACTCTAGTGTGACCGCGGCTTTAGGATTCTTTGTTAACCAGTTCTGCAGTGAGTCTACCTCCACCCTTTAGGTATCATACTCATGTGCTAGGTACCCTTATGAAAGTGTCCCAAAAACGTAGTATGATACAGTTCACTATTTTGGTACTATCAGAACTTCTGACATTAAAAATATATAAATAATTGCATACCGTACTATACTGTACTCTAAGGCAGGGGTTCCCAAACTTTTCAGGCTGCGACCCCCAAAATGACAATGCCAGTGACTCGTGACCCCTAATATCCTTTGAGGTGATTATAAATACAGAAACCTTGCATGCAATGGCACACACACACCAATGGACCCAAGTCTATTCTTCTTTAAAAAAAAAAAAAATTATGTATGAGAGCTGTAAATGGGCCACAAAGTTTAACCAGGTGTTATGAAATCTGCTGCATCTGACGCTATTGCTGTGTCTTTAATACAATCCAATTACCCCAGGGGTTGCAATCCAATAGAAGTAGTAACTATAAGCTACTATAGTAACTATATATGGTATAAACAACAATTTTTTATTCTTCAGAAGGTTATGGATAAAATATGGTAATTCTTATGGTTTAATAAAAATAAATAGATTTTTGGAAACCACCAGACGACCCCCCTTCTTTGTCCCGCGACCCCTCGGGGGGTCCCGACCCCCACTTTGAGAACCATTGCTCTAAGGCTCAGTGGAAACAAGCCAGTTGATGTGTTGAAGAAAACTAGAAATTAAACCCAGTAAGAAAATGCTTGTGTAATGTCTTTTCTGCTTGGTTTGCAGTTGAAAGTGTTCTGGATTTTCTTGGAGAACCACGGGGCATCACCGATGTTCTAACATCTAGTGAAAATGAGCCACCTTTGGGCAGTGGAGACCTTGAAATATATCCTTCAGCTTCTGTTACCGTCACCCCAGAAGTGAGTTTCATTAACGGGAAGCACGAGTTGACTCTGCAACCAGTCGCCGAACAGGAGGCTAGAGGAGACCAGTTCGACACTGTGACCCCTCCAATTGAAGAAATCATCCCTGACGATGAGATAGTAATTCTTATGTCAGAATTTGAAGGTGTTGTATCTTCCCCTAAAACAGATGAATCTGGCTTGACTACGAGAAGTCCAGTTGAGCCCCATTTCACAACAAAAATCTCAAAGCCAGACTTGGGCAGTGGAGATCTTGAAATATATTCTTCAGCTTCTGTTACCGTCACCCCAGAAGTGAGTTTCATTAATGGAAAGCATGAGTTGACCCTGAAACCAGACGTTGAACATGAGGCTAGAGGAGATCAGTTTGACACTGCGACCCCTCCAATGGAAGAAATTATTCCTGATGATGAGGTTGTAATAGTTCTGGCCGAAGCTGAAGGTCTTACATCTTCCTACAAAACGGATGAATCTGGCTTGACTACAAGAAGCCCAGTTGAGCCCTATTTCACAACAAAGATCTCAGAAAGTGCAACCATGAGTGAATTGCCCATATTTTCAACCAAATCTCCAAGCCAGGAGATAACCCCACAAGCCATATCATTTAGCACATCAATCAATGAAGAAAGTTCAGGGATGCGCCCAACAGATGATGAAGAGGAGCTGACTACATTGGAAGGCTCTGCGGATGACCTGCAGTCAGCTACAGCTTCTACTGACCCAGATATGGTGGCTACTGACGAGACTGAAATAGGTGGAACAGAGAAGCCTACACAGGCATATGGGGTGCATTGCTCCACCCAAGGACCAATTACAACTCCAGAAACATCTCAAACTACAGCATCCAGCCCTGTAGAAAAAGAAATAAAGCCGGAAAGAGATGATTTTGAGGGTTCCACCTCAGCAGAAGAAGAGAGCTCTGGACAAGATATGTATTCTCGAGAGGAACCAAAACAACCGATTTTATCTCCAACTCTCTCTGTTCCTTCTCACTCCTTTACAACTTCCTCAACAAGTACTCATCCCAAAGACCCAAGGGAACCTGCTAGTTTACTCTTGCCTAGTGCAGAGCCTGCAGTAAATGTGGTTTCAACTTTACAAACAAGAGTAATCCCAGAGGAGAAAGACCAAAGCAGGAGTACCACTAAGAGTCCTTTATTGGTGCCTGAGTTTGAAAAAGATGTAAGCACAGTCTTCGCCATCTCTGGGGACAGTGGCTCTGGTGATCATCCAACAGAAGCATTAACAAAACAACCTTTCATTGTGACTACCGTTCCTTCTCTTTTCATTCAACAAACTGTTGAAACTAGTGTTGATGCAAATGAACCAACTAAAGCATTTGAAGGTTCTGCTGAAGACACAACGCCATTGTCTTTCACCACTGCCCGAACTGAAACTAAATTCACAACACAAAGATCAGATGCTAGAATTCTGCCCACGGATAGTCTAAGAGCAATAATGTCTTCCTCCCAAGAAACTGTTCTAATCCAAAAAACTCATTCGGAAGAGACAACCACTTTAGTGGTGCCATCAGAGACTACAGAAGAGACGATGTTACCTTCTAAATTTGGATTCTCAACAGAGGAGCCTCTCATCTCAACGTCTGTACATTCCAGTGGCCCCATCACTATTGCTGATACAAATTTAAGCATTTCAGAGTCAGTCCAGGATATTACAAGTACTTCTTCTACAACAGAAGACATGATCACCACCCCTAAAGCCACAAGTACTTCGTCATTTGAAGAGACTGTTGTAGATTATGAAGATATGCAGGGTGCCTCAGTTGTTGAAAGACAACCACCAATCAGGGAAGAGTTCACCACAAAAAAGCCAGAGGTCTGGACTGATTCCAGCTACACTGTGGAGAGCCATGTGGTGGATTTGCAAGGTAGAGTTTTGAGCTGTATTTTTGCAAAGCATACAGAATTTCCACAGTGCTGATTTGTCCATAGTGGATTTGTCCTTTCACTGAAAGTTATGACTTTGTTGTTTTAGATCACGCACTTTGCTCGGTCAGTGTGTGTGAAAACGGCGGAACATGCTTCTCCAGCAGAAAAGGAAATGTTTGTGTCTGCATGCCTGGATTTAGTGGGGAACGCTGTGAAAACGGTTTGTAGCTTTTAGCATTTTAAGTTTTATTCACTCTTGATGAACGCGTTTCTTGGTATAGTGGGACATTTTCATTTCCTATTTCCTGCAGATGTCGATGAATGCCAGTCGAATCCTTGCCGCAATGGTGCTACATGCATTGATGGAATGAACTCTTTCAAATGTGTCTGTCTGCCCAGCTATTCAGGATCCCTCTGTGAACAAGGTATGAAATCAATAGTATACATGTGTTTTGATTAAGATACTATGTGAGGTTACGCTTCATTTTGATGGTAAACTTTAGAAATTATGTTATGGAGGGAAGAGGGGCAGAGTGTATAGGGCTCAGTGGTTTGGAGGGACCCAAGTGGGTTCTGGAAGGTCAGATTGCAATTCTTCCTCAGAGGGCAGAGAGCAACTGTGCATATAGGTGTATTAAAGGGGTGGGGAGGCAGATTGTGTAGGGCTCAGTGGTTTTGAGGGACCCAAGTGAGGTCTGGGCGTCAGGAATTTTTATTGACGGGACCCATACCATAAAACTGTGCATTTAGGTGTAGTAAGTGATGGAAAGGGGGGAGAGTGTATACGGCCCAGTGTTTTGGAAGTACCCAAGTGGGATCTGGGGGGACCAGAATGAATTTTTACTGAGGGTGCCCAGAGCAAAAAACATATAAGTGTAAGTGGGAGGAAGAGGGGAAGAGTGCATAGGGCTTAGACATTTGGAGGGACCTAAGTGGTGTCTGGGTGGTGAAAATGCTATTTTTACTGAGGGTGACCAAAGTGGATAACTGTGCATATAGATGTAGCAAGTGGGGGGAAAGGGGGCCAGAGTCTCTAGGGCCCAGTGGTTTGGAGAGACACAAGTGGGGCTTAGACGTCAGAATATAATTTTACTTGGTGGTGACAAAAGTCAAAAACTGTGCACATAGGTGTAGTAAGTTGGGGGAAAGAAGGGCAGAGTGTATAGGGCCCAGTGGTTTGGAAGGAGCCAAGTGTTGTCTAGGGGTAAAAATTTATTTTTACTGAGGGGGCCTAGAGCAGTAAACTGTGCATATACAGTAGGTGCAGTAATTGGGGAAAGGGGGCAGAGTGTATAGGGCCCAGTGGTTTGGAGAGATCCAAGTGGGGTCTGGGGAGTCAGATTGCAGTTTTTTACAGGGGCACAGAGCAAAAAACTGTGCATGTAGGTGTAGTAAGTTGGGGTAAGAAGGGCAGAGTGTATATGGCTTAGTGATTTGGAAGGATCCAAGTGGGGTCTAGGGGTCAGAATATTTTTTTTTTTTACTGAGGTGGCCCAGAGCAGAAAACTGTGCATTTATGTGTAGTAATTTGGGGGAAGGGGGTAGAGTGTATAGAGCCCAGTGCTTTGGAGGGACTCAATTGGGATCCAGGTGGTTAAAATGCAATTTTTACTGAGGGTGACCAAAGTGGACAACTATGCATATGGGTGTATATGTGCCAGTGGTTTGGAGGGACCCAAGTAGGGTCGAGGGGCCAGAATGATTTTTTTACTGAAGGGGCCCAGAGCAGAGACTGTGCATTTAGGTGTAGTAAGTGAGGGGAAAGAGGGGGAGAGGGTATAGGGCCTAGTAGTTTAGAGGGAGCCAAGTGGAGTCTGGGGGGCCAGATTTACTGAGAGCTCCCAGAGCATAAAACTACACTTTTATATGTGTAGTAAGTGGTGGGAAAGAGGGGCAGAGTGAATAGGACCCATTGGGTTGGAAGGACCCAAGTAGGGTTTGTGGGACCAGAATTAATTTTTTTTACTGAGGGGCCCAGAGCAGAAACCTGTTCATAGAGTTGTAGTAAGTGGGGGAAAGAGGGGGCAGAGTGCACAGGAGTTTGGGGTGTCAGGGTAGAGAAAATTTTTTTTTACACTGAGGTACTATCCCCGTTTCTTACAGGTAAATGGGGAGTGTATCTGTATCATGCTAGCAATTCAACATCTGCTTCATGCTAACGCTGTGTCTAATGTATAAATGTTTTGGTTTATTCCTGTAATGCTCTGAGGGTTGTGTATTTTAAACATTTAGCTCCTTGATTACGTGCAAGGTTTCCACTGCAAGTGGGATAAAATACAACTCACTGAAAGCTGGTGAGTGGAATATGCTATGATTTTAAGGTGCTAGTGTCTAAATACCGAGCCATGGCTGTTTAATGATTGCACTGAAGCAAAGGGGACTGTATAAGGCGGTCAATCCAAACTGTTAACATGGACAAACCAAACCACACAGTTTTTACCACATCTGGCAGGCCTGATCCTCCAGAGGCTGTGTGGTATTGCTGTCAAGAGGAATGAAAGCAGATTTGTGCCAACAATTGGGTTCAGAGAAAAGGTCACACAGTCAGCGACAGTACTGCCTCTTCCATTACACCAAATGCTGAGCAATTCTCTGAGCCGTAGCTGAGCCAAGTGCCTTGGCATTAACCCAGGCAAATTAGTGTGGCTACGTAAATGATGAGTGCATTTTTCTCCAGTCGCTTCGTCATACTCCTCTATTACAATAGCATGACTTGTTTAAGTCCTAAAATTCGGTTGTAACTTTCAGATGTCTTCGGGAAACTAATTAAAGCTAACAAGAACAATACACAATTGCAATATTGCAACACAAACCACTTCCATGTTATTGCGTCATTTCAGTGTAAAACAAAATATTCCACATAAATTATGTAGAATATATAAAATGATATAAAGTTTGCAGTGAGATTTGATTACAATAACCCCCAAAATGCCTTTATTGCAACAAAAAACAAACTGTTAAACATATTATTGTGGAATGCCCCATTTTTAATGTTCGTAGACAACAATTTTTAACTGGACAGACTCTAAGTGAATTTTTAAAAATGTGAATCTTTCTAAAATTATTGAATTTTTATCAAAAGGAAACCTTAAAAAACTGTTTTAGATTTTTATCATCTATATCAATGGTTCTCAAAGTGGGGGTCGGGACCCCCCGAGGGGTCTTGGGGCAATGAAGGGGGGTCGCCTGGTGGTTTCCAAAAATCTATTTATTTTTATTAAACCATAAGAATTACCATATTTTATCCATAACCTTCTGAAGAGAAAAAAATAGTTGTTTATACCATATATAGTTACTATAGTAGCTTATAGTTACTACTTCTATTGGATTGCAACCCCTGGGGTAATTGGATTGTATTAAAGACACAGCAATAGCGTCAGATGCAGCAGATTTCATAACACCTGGCTAAACTTTGTGGCCCATTTACAGCTCTCATACATAAAAAAAATTAAAAGAAGAATAGACTTGGGTCCATCGGTGTGTGTGTGCCATTGCATGCAAGGTTTCTGTATTTATAACCACCTCAGAGGATATTGGGGGTCACGAGTCACTGGCATTGTCATTTTGGGGGTCGCGGCCTGAAAAGTTTGGGAACCCCTGATCTATATTATCATTATTATTATTATTTATGTATTTTACCTTGTGTATTATTTATTTCTGTTAATGACTTAAATTTTTGGACTTTTTTAAAAATATAGAAAAGTGGTATTTATAAAATGTGGTAGCCTTGATCTGTTTTTTTTTTTTTTTTTGCCATGACATAGCCATAGAAGCTGAAATGGCAATAAAATTAAAACTCTCTCTCTCTCTCTCTCTCTGCCCCAGTGACAGCCCCTGTGCCATTATTTCTGAGAGTGTACCACAATTGATTGTTTTTCCCTTTTTTAAAATATGTACTCTACATAATGAATTTACAAATATGCTTTTCCCAATACAAATAAAAGAGATTTTATTATGAATTTCAGCAAGTAAACACTCTTAATGTGTTAAGATTCTCATGGTAATGTTTATATTCACCGTTTCATTTAGAGAAATTCCTGAGGTAAATAATCTATGTCTCTGAACTTTAATAATAAACCATACCTGCCAACTAGGGGTGTCAAAATGAATTGTTTCTTCGGTGCACCGCGATGCAGACGTGGTATTAGTAATAATCGGTAATTCGATTCGAATTTGAGTAATACTCATAACTGGTTATTATGTACTGACGTTGTTTACCTCATATGCGCTCTGTTGCGAGGGAGGCGAGTGCAAGTATTTACAACACTTCAGGCGCAACTACTTAAAAACGCAGAAACTGTGCACAATTTCACTTCATGTGTGTGATTTCTGGACGGTCTTTCACTGACACTTCCAGCAGAAACCCCTATTTCTCTGCAATTGAGGAAATGAAAGTGAACTTCATTTCACCTCTGGGCTGTATGCATTGCTGCGGCTGTACCTGTGCATTGTCGCGGAACCTGACCAGATTTCATGCGGCGCGGGAATAAATTTCCGAATACAGCGCGGGAGCAGTCGGTAACGCTGGTGTAATTTTAACAGGAGTGGGCGGTCTCACAATATTGCTCCCGAGCAAACGAGCAAGCAAGCATGCATGGCGTGTGTGTGTGTGTGTGTGTATGTGTGTGTGATATATTCGAGATATCGAATTGAACCGAATCGATGACATGATCATTGTAACCGAACCGTGAGACCAGTATAGGTTCACACCTCTACTGCCAACACTCCCGTTTTTCCTGTGAGTGTCCCGTATTTCAGACCCAGACCCCCCCCCCCCCCACCCCCCCCCCCCCCCCCCCCCCCATCCCCCATACCCACCCCCCAGCGCACCTCTGGATAAAATCTCCAGGATTTTAAGATCCGAATGTTGGCAGGTGTGTCATAAACTTAAATAAAATCCTGCGCTTCCCACCTCCAGTCGCAATGACTTCTGGGACTTCTAGAGCGAGTTTGGTGCTCAAGTCAGTGCATCCTCTATCAAGATCACATCGGGGAACATTCAGACATCCTCCATTTTTGCGGTCTTGAATTTTGGAACTGAACTTTGGCAGTTGATGATTTATCATTGATCATATTAAGAATCAGCCGCTGTTTTTCACCAAGGCATCCCGGGGTGCTGAAATATAATTGGCTAAACTGGGAGTGGGCGGGTTAAATGACCAAAACAAAGACAGACGTTCCGGCACGAACTGCACATGTTGAAAGCAGAATATCTGACTTCAGCATTGTTTTTCAGATAAACAGGAATGTTCACTGAGCATGTTTATACCTGAATATCTGCTAACATATGATGATGTTTTTATCCTTTAGAACAGGGTTTTTCAAAGTCTAAGACAGTGGGCCTCCCTTTTGACACAACTTATCCATTGGCGCCCCCCTCCTCCCAAACACACACGCACACACACACACACACACACACATATAT